AGTGATGTACAACTGTACTCTCTCGAATGAAAGGGATTCTGACATTTTAGCCTAGTTCTCAAGAGATGATAGAACAATGAAAAAGTATCAAGCATCGAGGAATTACGGAGCATTGAACATCGTGCTTTTTTTTACGCCTCAAAGGACGAAGGAACCTTGAAAAAACATACTGTTACATATTTTACTTTTTCTTCACATCGTAAGTAAAACACGGATATCTAAAACCGTGGATAACTGGGATAGGCTCCAGACCCCCCATGTATTAGACAAGATGGTGGAAGATGGCTGAATAGGTTGTACTCCACTGATGTTCAAGTTTCATCAATGCGTGAGGTTAAGAGAGACTGGGCAACCAAAAACTGTACAAAGAATACATACATAACACAAATAAAGAGTATGATCTAATGGCATGTCAAGCCAGTGTGCCTGTACTTTTGTATGAACACAACACAACTAATTAAGAGTATCAAAGTAACCTTGAGAAAAAAGTAAAATAGGATAGGGAGCTAAATTTGGGACTGTAAATAAAACAGATTAGCGTGTTTGCCTAAAGCCCCCACTCAGAATTAGGCACATGGGGGGGAGGCAACGGCAACATGCAAACGAAGATGGCAGCTGCAGAGGACAGATCAATAGCGGCTGAATGGCTGAAGTGTCTGAGCCGCAGTACAAACGCAAAAAAGGAGGGATAACACTCAATCGAAAAAGTGGCATCGGCCTCTGAGAGGATATGGCTGCAACACTCAAAGGAACGTGCCCAGGGACCCACAAATCAGACAGGCCCCCCAGGGAACAAGCTAGCAAAAATCCGTCGGGGCAACGCACACCAACACGCTGTACAGGAGCGCCGCAGGCTTGACGGCACCCCTTTGAGGCTTTTGATATCCCAGCGTTTTGGAGAACGAATCCTGGAGCTGATAACACTGTGAAGATACAGACAACACAGAATTTATTTCCTCTGTCCGACCTCTTTGAAAGCTATAATTGGGTGATTGTGAAGCTGCAGAGACCTGATAGCAACAGGCCGAGCAGAACAGCGCCTTTGATCATAGTAAGTGAGTGTTTAAAACCCACATCTGATTACAAAACACACAAATTCTGAAATAACCGCTCTGGTTTTATTGCAATTATACAGAAAATATTCTATCACAGCTTCATGTATAAATCTGCGATAATGAAATTAGGCCATAAATTCCAGGATTAATCTTTAACTATGGTGTTCCTGTGTTTGGTCTATTTGTAACTTGTGTTTAAATACAACTGGAAGCCTTCCATCTTCAGCGTCCTCTCCGCTGGCCTGGTACAGACATATGTTTTCATAACCGCACTGGTATGTCCTCTGCTACTGGACATAGGGGAACATGTTTGTGCCAAAAACACAGGACATTGTTACAACAGAACCATGACAGTGACCAGGTGAGACACCCTTACCATTTCTGGGCCTATCATCCTGCATGTCAACCCCATTTCAGCCATAAATTTCACCATGCTCTCAATGTGAAACTGTACCAGTTTTCAGCACTAAGCAATCTGCTTCCTCCCTAAAGTAGCACAAGACAATAAATGAATCATTGGACAGTGTGACAAACTACAGTGTGACAGAAACGCCTTTTGGCAAGCGCGTACAAGCTGCAACAGCTGACATTTCCAACAAAATCGACACTTCTTTTAGAAAGATATGCTTTTTGCTAAACTCCTGTCCCACCCTATCTCAACAAGCAAGTGAATAATTATCCACTTGGATGCAGTTTACTCACAATGCTATTTGCTAATCTGTGGTTACAACTTTTCATTGGGTGATTGCATTGATATTTTCTGGCACATTTTAAGCGATTTTAATTACATCCTTCACAAACAGACTCCTTTACTTCTCCTAATTAAAGACAAAGTCTGTTTTTGCTTTGAGCCTTTTAGCCATTCAAATAGAGCCAAGTTATATAATCATACTTTTATCTCTGGCAGTTGCTCATACACATTAAAGGTGATGGAAGTGAATTTTCATTTCTTCCGGGTTGATGAGATTGCTGGCACAATCAGATTTGGTCAGAACATTTACCTGTATCCTGCCACATCTGCCGACACAGACATAGATGTGGAAATCGCATCACACGGTTTCCGTTGAGGAACAACGCCGTGAATTGAGTGAGCGTATACTCTCCCTCCCAGACACTGGGAAGTGTTTATGAGTATGAAAACAGGAATGATCGTGGAATTTGGTTTTCACTACGAAAAGAATGAAAGGATCATTCTTGCAAGTCCATTTCCAAAAAGCACAGCAGTAGCTAAAAATTAGCTTCTACCAAAGCCAGCCTCCTGATTCAAACGTTTCTGCACAGCAACAGCACACGGGGGTGCCATTTAGAGTTAGCCTGCTAATGCTACTGCATTTCTGACCTGGGAACGGTGATAACAGCGTTATTAAAAACGTCCAGAGGCTCCATTCGTTTGGCTAGCATGGAGTGTGTCTCTGCTGTACTTCACAATCATTATCAATGTCCGTTACATTATTGTTTTTAGTCTGATCCATGTCACAAAACAAAAACTAGTCCATGTTGGGAAAAAAGGTTCTCTCACTTAACCAGGGACTTAATCAGATTAGTCTTCACTTGTCCAGGAGTTTGAGACCAATATAGACAACTTGGGAAACAAACTGCCCAATTACAGAATCGATTACCTAAATGAAAGTCTAACCAGAATTTAGTTTGCTCAAAGAGGGACCGACCGCTGCTATTACTCATTTCCTGTCTTAATTGCTTCCCATTTTCTGAATTCTTGTCAACCATTTGCCTAGATTCCCTGTTTATAATTCTCTCCCCTTTTACAAAATGATCTTATTTCTCAATGGTAGCAGGTGCCTTCTTAATTCAAAAACGTCAAAACTTGTCTGACCACACAAGTGGAAACAGACTTTTTCTAGATTATGCAAAAAAGATGCACACCTAGGAAAGCCACAACAAACCTCTTCACCATTCACATTTAGCAGAGACCTGAAAATATAATTAACATCCTCTTAGATCCTGAGTACACAATTACATGGTACACACATATATCGCCTTTGTTATTTCATATATATTGCAACAATTATAACTGTGGCAAAACTAACACACATATACACTATATGGACAAAAGTATTGGGACACGCCTCTTAATCATTGAATTCAGGTGTTTCATTCAGACACATTGCCACAGGTGCATAAAATCAAGTACCTAGCCATGCAGTCAGGTTTACAAACATTTGTGAGAGAATGGGTTGTTCTGAAGAGCTCAGTGAATTCAAGTGTGGTGCTGTCATAGGATGCCACCCTTGCAATAAGTCAGTTTGCAAAATTTCTTCCCTGCCAGATATTTCATGGTCAATTGAAAGTGGTATTTTTAAAAAGTGGAAGCATTCAGGAACAACAGGAACTCAGCCATGAAGTGGCAGACCACGTAAAGTAACACAGCGGGGTCGCCAGGTGCTGAGGTGCATGGTGCGTAAAAGTCGCCAACGCTCTGTTGACTCAGTAACTGCACAGTTCCAAACTTCCTTTGGCATTAACTGCAGCACAAACACTGTGCGCCGGGAGCTTCATGGAATGGGCTTCCATGGGCAAGCAGGTGCACGCAAGCTTCACATCACCAAGCACAATACCAAGCGTTAGATGGAGTGGTGTAGAGCACACCACCACTGGACTCTGGGGCAATGGAAACCTGTTCTGTGGAGTGACAAATCACGCTTCTCTGTCTGGGAGTCTGATGGACGAGTCTGGGTATGGCAGATGCCAGGAGAACCTTACCTGACTGACTGCATTGTGCCAACTGTAAAGTTTGGTGGAGGAGGGATAATGGTATGGGGTTGTTTTTCAGGGGTTGGGCTGGGCAGCTTAGCTCCAGAGCAGGGAACTCTTAATGCTTCAACATACCAAGACATTTTGTACAATTTTATGGAAACAGCTTGGGGTAGACCCTTTTCTGTTCTGCCCCAGTGCACAAAGCAAGGTCCATAAATACATGGTTGGGTATGGAAGAACTTGACCGGGCCACACAGAGCCCTGAGCTCAACCTCAACCCCAACGAAACCCCTTTGGGATGAACTTGATGTGCTGCAGAGGTCCTACAACACTATATAAATACCTCATATAATTCTAGTAACCTACTACCTGAGAAGTCCAGCTCTGGACTAGAAGACTGATCGAGCACCCAGCAGGCTCAGATCCCAAGAGGAGCTTCGTTGTTTCACCTTTCAGTCAAGCACTTAGTCCGAACGACTTCATTTAAATACTAGTCGCAAATGATCGTATAATGACAGCTGCTGATACCTGTGTGTAAGTTAGTCAGGAAAAACCAATCGTGTGTGTAAAGATGTTTTCCACAAATTTCAGCTGTACCCAGCTGGCATTTTAACGTGGAGTCAGCGTTGAATCAACGTCAGGTGTCAGTGCTGGATAACCTTTGGAATTTGTTTAGATTTTGCAAATGCATGGTTGTAAAAATAATGTTGATTTGACGTACAACTCAAATTTTATTTATATTTCTATGTTGAATCCATAGTTAGTTAACAACACCATTTCAACCATTTGGTATTCAACGTTGTTTTGACGTTGAATGAATGTTTTTTTATAAACTGACATTATTTCAACCACATTTAAACGTTTAAGGTCGGTCGAATGCCAGCTGGGTACGTCAATGTGCCTGCATGTACGCATGTATTAAAGCTTAAAGTCGCGGAATCCGAAATTATTCATGGGTGAAGGCTATACGCTGTGTTTTTACTGTTATTTTTAAATTTGCAGATTGGTTTATGCATCGAACTTCAACATGAGGTAAAAATGTAACTACTTCAACGTGTACAATTAAAACCGTTTGTGCTGGCTGTTAATCTCAACATCCTACAAGCATGTGCATATCGTAACTCTCATAAGATTATTCGTAGGGATGTTCAATTAGATACATTTTGTCGGATAAATATAACCTATATAGATTATGCATCTGTATAATCAGCGTTACAAATAGGGTCTTACCTGCTATTGTCTTTACGGGCGGCAGTGACAGCCCTTCGTGAGACAGTGGTAGACTCCCTTGGGCTTCCAGTCATCCGCGGATCACCTCGATCCCTCGTCGCCTAGGTCTTACAGCCGTGCCCGGCCGCACATGGAAAGGTGTCTTCTTAATTTCCACCGGGGGGGGGGGGGGGGTTGCAAAGAAGAACGCAGGAGTTGAGGGAGGTACAGGACTGCTTCTCCGCTGTCAATATAGCGTAAAAGAAATCATATTTATGCCATAAACTGACTTGGGAGAAGCCTCTCAATTGCAGTATTTCATTCCTGTTACGGTCGGATAACGCCGTTTTTTGTTGAAAACAAATAGGCTGTTGACTGGTTATAGGAGACGGTATTATGTAGCCTAGGTTACTGCTTGTGGATTTGGCTAAAATAACCTCATTCATTGATGAAAATTGTTACATTGTAGGATTATGTTTTTCAGAAGGCTTTCTGAAAGGTGGAGCTTATATTATTAAAACTGTTTTATTTAAAATATAATTTAGTGCTTACACAGGCCTATACCTTGACTGTTTTACAATTGAGTTCATACAACAATCAAACAGCCTTGTAACTGCATAGTACGTGCCTTCTTGGCTTTGGATGAGTATTCAAATCACGCTTTGTCTATTTTTAACCACGTCGAAATAGTCTCCGCGTTGTGTCTGAGACAACACTGGCCATGTCACGCTGTGCACCTCACTTCTAATGTATTCTTATGAGTGGGTGTTTACACTGCATGACCCTAATCTTCACAGTATTGGCTGCAAAACAGGCATCGTGGCAACGCATACTCACTTGTAACTATTTTTCCGTTTACTGCCGCCTCCCTAATCTCTCCGCCAGGTAATAAAGGAATGTCATATAACAGATGAAAAGCTGCTTGCACGTCGCAATAGACATTTAAATACTGACGAATGCAGCCGATGGTCACAGCCTTGGACGCGTCTTAGAACATGCGGCGCTTTAGGATAATACACCTGTAAGTCCACAGATACTGTGTCGTCGCCAACTCTTTTCAAGTTAATGCTCACCTCTTCCTGTTCTCTCGATCAACCTTCACCAGTGCCTCCTCTTATTTATTTTTCCCCCAGTCACAGCTAAAAATAAACTGGGTTTTTCATAATGCACACTTCCCACTTCAACGATGCCACAGTGCGTCCGAAAGAAAGTCTGAAAATGCGAAACACAACTTCTTGCAAGCGTGGAAAAAAACGTGGAAATCGCTTTATGCCCTTTCTTCTTTTCACAGTCTTCGAATCCGGTGGAAATTCCCATTCAGAGGCTGATCGGACGCGCGCAGGTTTCTGTACACGGTCGTTGACTGAATGCAGGCTAAGGGTAGCCTTATGGCGAATGCCTTAGTTTCCCCCCACCCAGCAAAATAATGAAGGAACTGAACGTGTCTACTGTATTTCAGTATAATCTGTGTAACAGAAAGAGGCAGCACGATTAACGGGAATGTAGAAGGAGACAGAATAAGGAAAACATCAGTCGAGGAAGCCAGACTACTCGATGCTCTCCCATCAGCAGAATAGCATGAAGTGACTGTAAAGGGTGGCTGGCAAAAGGGGGGCAGCCTTTCGAGCCACTGCGAGCCGAAGGACAGAAGCGGCGTGCTCCTTAATTGTAATTTTCTCCCTGTCTACGTTTATTTCCCAGGGGACTGGCTTTTGTACAGCAAATATAAACGCTACAACTAAGTCACTTAAAAGCGGAGATTAGAAACGCAGTTAAGACAGTCCACAGACATTATGCACATCGCAAATAAAAACGAGACCCCCGATTAATTATTATGAGCCCGCGACCTAAAACAACATCATTTACTGATGGGTCATTTAGACTTAACAGAGTAGATTTATTACAGATTTATTAAACTGATTAATTGATTATCTTGTCATTAGAATTGATCTGTAAAATCCTTTGTGTATTACACTGTCTCGTTTTAATGTGGTCATTAGTATCTCGTGAATGAACGGATTTAAAATATCGGACGCTAACAGCTAAGAATACAATATTCAAAACAATAAGGAAACTGTCAGATGCAAACAAGTGCTCTCTCAGACAATTTCGTGGAGTCTTGTTCTATAGGCAGCAATACTGTGCCCACGTGCGTCAGTCCAGCAGCACAACTCTCCCACGCAGAAACCTGCTTACCTGTAAGTGCACTCGGCCAATGGATACATTTGGCAGGATATTGCGGTTGAAGACAAGCTCTTGTAGTGAAACAATGCACTGAGATATTGCATTTATGAGGGCTTCAAATGAAACATGGAATAGAGGCGTGGAAAGGTCCCTGTGACCCTGAACAGGATAAGTAGATAGAAGATGGATGGATGGATAGATGGAGTTCCAGCCCAGGTATAGAAAGTGTAATGCCTCAGAAATGGCATACTGTATGGGCGTGTTCTAGAAAAACTACCTGTCAAATAATAACTGTAGAACACAATGTGCTTCAGAAAATTGTGATGTTGGTCAGCCTGTTACCACAGTAGAACTCCGTACTGTACAAAATAACCTGATAGACCTGGCTCCTACACCAGGGGCTCCTTCATTGGACCATGTGACTCCATTCTCCTGGGTTTCTTGCACATGCACAGTAACATCAGCAATGTTGATGTAACAATGCCTGTATTTCTGTGGAGACTCTTTAAAAACCTCCACATCAGTGGCACATCCTTAACTCTCATTAGCTGTTTAACACTCCAGGGGTGTAAGTGACCAAGTTTAACACTCCAGTGGTGTCGTTAGTTTGCTGAGTAAGGTGCTTCACTCGAATTGTCTATTGATATATGTTAGCTGTCTTCATTGATGTCAACAGCCTCATTGATTATGTTTGCATCAATGAAGCTCATCCACCAAGTTTATTACATTTCTATCCATCAGACCACAGAAAGTGTCTCCTAGTACTAAAAAACAGTGAACTTCTGGTAATAGGTTCCTAACCACTGATGTCCCCACATTTAATCTATAAAAGTAAGATATTGCATGAATAAAGTGCCACCTTTACTTGAGTCCAACACTTATTACAACCCCAAGCACTATCCATCATACAGCTTAAATATTATTTAGACTTTTTGTCACTGTTTTTTTCTGTTAATGATAATGGTTGCAACTTACTGCCTACCTTTATCGATGTATTATGTTGATGAATTTGTGATTTTTGCAATAGTTCATGTAGCAAGTAATTACTATTTGTACCAATATTTATAATGGCTGAAAAACAGTAGATTGAATAATAAAGGGCAAGATGATACAGGACCTGTTCCAAGCTCAGAATTACTAATTTTACATACAAATGTACAGTATATACACTTTTAACTAGTACTGTATCTTATTTACAAGAACAAAAAATATATCTGAATTATATATTGCCGATGTGTTTATTTAGGCAAGGAAACAGCATATATTTTGGTGAATTTGTGTATTTTAATCAGGTTAAACAAGTCCTTTAAACTACAATTTGTACTTTTTTAAAAATGTTCATAGGATCTTCCATTGTTAAGGTAGTAAATAGTGATATTGAAAGTATTCCAACAACAGCTCTCCGATGCCTGAAAACATACACAATGATTGCAGGTGACTGCCTACTGTATTTTATAACATACACCGTCTACTATATTGCATTTCAAAAGACCCAATTCACCCTGATTCTTTATAATTAAGGTAATAACTACCTCATTCCAAACAAATTACAGGCAGGATAACCACATTAGAATGGCAGTAGAGCTTTTATCATGGGCATTGGTTGAAGGATCACCATGTAACATCCTATGTGTATAGGTCTGAGTGGGAGTGTCAAAGCGTGAACCATGTATTGCTTCACTTATAGCTCCAAAGACTGTACAGACCTACTAGTTCTGCCTCAGCAGCCATAGAGACACCACTTCAATAGTAAATTCTATCTATGACTTGCTGTCATCTCTGGTAATCGTGCATTGATGCATTATACAGTGTCTGTGTCTTTGTTATCACGGCCATCTCCCTGTTCAGTTACTTGACAGTTCTATTATGAAGGGGAGCATCTCAAATAAAAACTAGAACACTGAATATCCAGTTTATTTAAATCACAGGCAAACACAGATTGGAACAATGCACTCCACGTCCTTTTCATTATATTTGAATCGTAAGTGCTTTTGTACATTCGTAAAGTTGTTTGCATTAAATTGGAATATTTAAGGGGGGTTAAAGGCACTCACTGGTATAACCATATATTGTTTAACTGTAAAAATCCAGTGCATATATTATCTTTGACCATTAATGCACATACTCCACTTTAATAATAAAGCTCGTCCCTTTAAATTCAGAAGAGCTATAAAGAACAAGTGATGGTTTAAGTAACCTTGGGCAGGATGAAACCATATTTCTTAAAATACTTCCAGAAAACCCCAAAAGGCAGGACACAGTCAGCATGTGTATAAATGGTCAATAATTGCATGTGTCTATATGCAGCAAAGTGCGAGACCTTTGAGTTTAACCACAGAACATGGCAGCATTAAAATTGCAGACCTCGGATAGGCTTGTCCCTTTCATTGCCATAAAAATTACAGACCACACCAACCTGGAAAAAAAACATATTCTAGAAAGGCTTCCAGACGAGGCTATTTTACCCTGTCAACGCAGGCGCACGCTCACACAAAACGCTCCTTTCGCCCGCATACATTTCATTCATACATTTATTTCCATCATTGAAAATAATTTAAATAAAATTATGTCGTTTTAGAAAGACATTACATGGGGCTCTGCAATGAAAGCTGGCTCTAATGGAAGACACCCACTTACTTATGATCGGATGACATATTGTAGAAACCACTGAGACGGCGGCGGAGTGGCGAGGACGGGACTGCTGTAATACCGTGAAAAGGGGCGTGATGCTGCTCCTTCTGGGCATCCTAACCAAAGTGTGAGGTGTTTCCCTCATCGACAGGAAGCTCTTTGGCGCCTCCTGTCGACGGACTACAATAAATAGAATAGTGGGCGAGGCAAGTTTGTCCAGAGTTGCATTTTGTGATATTTCGTTACTTTTAGTGCAACATAATCTAGGAGAAAAATTGAAGACTAAATAATACAATATTATTTTGTATTTGAAAGCTGTAATGTGTATAAGGTAAAGAAAATTGTAAGAACTAGAATCCTAAAAGTAAATGCTAAGTGTTAACATTAGCCCTAGCATTGCCGTATACATTTAGAGCATGGGTTACAGCCTCTTGGGACCCCAAAATTCAATTAAAACAGACCGAAGGACCCCAAGAGGTCCGATGTTTGGTTCTTTTACCTATTTAAACTGCACTACTCATCAGACATTTCCAATCGCAATACCTCCAGTATAAGGCTGCCATCTACTGGTGAACTTGGATTAATAATAGAAATATTATTTGAAATATCTTTGCTTTAAAATAGCATAATTTCAGTTCTAAAAGCATGCATTCGAACTGGAAATTGAACAGAATGTGAAGATAAGTTTAACATATTTAATAAAATACTGCATCATCCAAAAATAAGTGAAACCCCCTCCTTCGTATAGATTTTGGATGTATTCATACAACTTTTTTGTTAAAATATTTCACAGTAGAGTGGTACCTCAGAACTCGAATTTAATCCTTTCAGAATTTTCCCCATAAGAAATAATGGAAAACCAATTAATTGGTTCCCGGCCCCAAAAAATTACACCTAAATATGTTTTTTAGCATTTAAACACAAAGTGAACCGGATAACACAAGAAGAGCATATACTGTACTAAACACATCTAAGCACATTTATCAAAATAGTAATTTGTAAAGTTAGAAAATAAATGTATCCAAACAATGTGTAAAGTTAAAAAAAAATGTGTCCTGCCCCGATAGTCCGCTCCTTCCATGTGCCACGCCCCCTCGTTAACCCCGTGTGGGATCCCAGTGTGATCAGCTGTTTCTGTTGTTCTCATTAGCCCTCTGTATTTAGTCCGCTTTTCAGTTTGTTTCCCCAGTCAGGTGTTACGCCGAAAAAGGCATCCCTGCCATAGAATGCATGCCGGTGTTCTGACGAGTTGAGCTTTTAGGGGTTTTTTGGGGGTTAGGGTTAGGGTTTTAGGGGTGTTTTGGGGGTTAGGGTTAGGGTTGGGGTTTTAGGGGGTTTTTGGGGGTTATGGTTTTAGGGGTGTTTTGGGGGTTAGGGTTTTACAGGTTTTTTGGGGATTAGGGTTAGGATAAGGGTTAGGGTTAGGGCTATCGATTAGCACTATGGTTATGGAAGTAAATTAATGACAAAAGTCGTTGATGAAAAAAGACACGTTGAATTACATTTATCGAGTAAAAACGCATTGCATTAATGATGCTTTGAATTTTTGGGGACTGTAATTTAATATCTGCATACATTTAAACATTGAACATTTCAACTGAAAACATTTCAATCGTAATTTCATTGCTTAAATATTCAGTACAAAAATATTCGGCTTCCAAAATTCAGTTCCAAAAGATATGTATT